GCTAAATTGGTTGAGACTTTCTCAGAATGAGCACAGTCTGAGGGTCTTACGACCTAATCTTCTTCTATTTCATGAAAGTCAAACCTGCATCGGGGCAGAAAGCTTTCTTTTCCTACTTGTGCTCCCTCTCCTCTTTGTCTTTTAGAGGCATTATCTCCAACAAACAACTTATACTTGGAACTGCATCTTGGCTGCTGTTTCCAAGGGTCTTCGTCTCCCAGGCTTGCATCATCATCACTGGTAGATGATAACTTAGGCTTGAATAAATTAAGAGGTTCACCTCAGGTCCCACAAATATTCAGTGGACTGTTGTTTCATAATATTTTATTCTTACGCTGAATAATATCCATGAAATCATGTAATTGATGTGCAAGTTATAATTCCCTAATTCACATGGAAAGCATAACTATTAAATTTAAAATTAAAAAAAAAAAACAAGACTAAGTTTGGGCAACTTAGTTATTCAACATGGGAAAATATATATCATATTTATTTGTTGGGAATTTATTTGTTCTATGAACGCATATTCGGCCAAGAGTTAATTTTTGAGATTGTCAACTTCGTCATTCCCAAGAAATGGAATGCCTATCTTCTTACTGAGAAACCAATTTCAGTGCTTATGGCTGCCAGCCTCTATGTTAGACACTTCCATCAAACAAGAAAGGAGACAGTTTTATGCCTTCCCAGCCAATACTCTATTCCTATGGTCTCTAAAATGGAGTGTGTGCACTTTAAGAAATATGCAAGACAATTATATAGAGAAAGGAAATATTTTAATTATATTTTATGAGCATGGATAAAGTATGTATGCTCAAAAATTGAGACAACTGTTAAAATTTGTTCATAGAACAAATACATTCTCAACAAAGAAATATGACATTATGTAATTTTCCAATATGGGATAAGTTGCCCAAACTTAGTTGCTGTGTAAAATTAACAAAACACAAACCTTACTTTCTAGTGGAGAAGACGGCAAAGTAAATGTATAAGAAATTAATGCTATATACATACACACTATATGTATATACTGGATGTATATACATATACATACAAAATATGTCCTAAGTGCTATGGAGAAAAATGTAGAAAAGGAGAACAGGGAGTGCTAGTGTGAGATTTGAGATTAAATGTGGTTCTGGGGTAGGACCTCACTATAAAGGTAACAACAAAGCAAAGACCCAGAGGGTGAGAAAGCCAGCCATGTAGGTAACTTGAGAAGAGAGGAACTAGGATTGCCCTTTTGCTAGGGGCACAGCCTAATACAAGTGAATCTAACATACTTTTTCATTACAAAGTTGGATATTCAAAACACTAAACATAACCCATTTTTGCCAGAGGTTGCAAATATTTTTTTGTGAAAAATCAGACCTTGGTGATGACCTTAAGCAGTGGGATATAAATAAGTCCCACAAGCTTAGTGTTCCAATAATGGAGCACTAGGCATAAGTAGGTTTAAGATTATTGCCATGTCCAAACTCTTGACTCCTGCTCAGTGAATACATTAAACTGCCATCTGAGACACTGAGTCTTCAACTAACAAACTTGAGGCATGTTGTTAATGACAGAATGTTCATGATATTGATGCAGAATTCCAGATTCTGGAATATATAGAGGTGGAAATTCATAGTCCATGCGCCAAGGTTGAATGGCATATCTCAGACTGGAAAAACCCTTCTGAAGTCAGTTCCAGGCATCTCTGGAAGCCTGGATAATTTGGGAAAAGGCTGACTTGATGTAAGGTAATACAGCAGACTGAAGCCCGAACCATAAGTTCATGCTAGAATTGACCAAATGGAAACATACTTAGGTAGCCAAGCACTCAGGGACCATTCTAGATGCAAGCGGCTTAACCTTTTCTCCCTCATGCAGGTTTGGCTTAAATTCTTCCAGCTAAAATCATGAGTCCTTGGTTATGACAAAAATGTTCTAAGATATGAAATTTACCATAATTATGTTGTTAAACATTCTGCTAAAACTTCTCTGGGGGAAAAGAAAAGATCACATTTTTGGATATGTATGTAAAATCTGGGTGAACTGAGGTAAATAGAAATTAAGAGTCTACACTTTGGAGTTAGACTGCCAGGGTTTAAATCCCAGCTTTCTCACTTGCTAGGTAGGCAGCACTGGGTGTTTCTTAACATCTGTGTTTTAGTCTTCAAGCCTGTAAAATGGGAAAAGATTATAGACCCCACAGCGTTGTTATGATGAGGAATAAATGAAGTAATACTTGAAAAAAAATGCTTGGAATATATAAAACATGGTATGAATGCTTTTTAAACAGAATTCTTTTTGGCATGGATAGTTGTGTGTGTGTGTGTGTGTGTATATATATATATATATATATATATAAAATTGTATAGTTATATAATTTATATAATTTTTTTTTTTTTTTTGGGA